AGTTATGAAAATATGACCCTGCCAGAGTGTTCACAAACTGAATGTTTGGTACTATTAGAACATTGGGGGTGGGGGGATATGAGGCTGTAACAATATGCAGAGGTAACTGATTTAAAAAGGTTATATTTTTATCCTGAGGTCAGTGAGAAGCCAATAAAGCAGGATTTTAAGCAGAAAAGAGACAGAATAAGACAAGGGTTTAGGTAATAAATAGCTGTAATTGTTAATGAGGCTCCGAATGGATGAAAGCAGTGGAAATGGAACAGGAGAAAAGGAAATAGACTTGGGAACAGGAGAAAAGGAAATAGAATTTTAGGAGATAAATCTATAGGGACTAGTGATTGATTGGAAATTGGAGGTGAGAGAATGAGAGTAGTAAAATGACCATTTTGTGTTGACTTACTATTTGGATGTTGTCAACATATGAAATAGAAAATCCAGGAACCTCTTATGTTTGAGAGGTCTGTGGGACACACAAATGTACAGTAGATGGTGATGGCAATTGGATCTGAATCTGGGCTGGAGAAGATTTGTGGTTGTCAGGATATTGCTGGTAGGGGAACCAGAAGTTGAACATTTGAATGCCTAAGGGCTAGTAAATAGAAGATTTAAAGCTGAATGAAGACCTAGCAATTTGGAGAGCCCATGCCCTGTTTGAAAAGGCAGCTGCTACTTAGTTCTAGACAGTTTAGGTTTTTGGTAATGCTTGTCCAATGTTGCCAGATTGTAAAGTTTTTAAAGTGAAGCCAGAAATCCAAATTTTTGGTGTGTGAGTGGAAGTTTGAGTATATCTGTGTTAAATCTCCAGATTAAACTCCACAGCAATGAAGTGGTTTTATTTCTAGTTTTAAAATAGAGAAGCAGGTTCAGAGAAGCAAAGCACCCAGGATTAGTGGATTATTGCCCAGATCCGTCTAGATCCATAGTCTTTGAAGTGTGGTCCCAAACCAGTAGGATCAGCATCACATGGGAACTTGTTTGAAAGAATCTCTAACCCAGACTTGCTGACTCAGAAACTTTGGGAATGGGCCGGCCCTCTTTAGTATTTCTGATGTATTTAGTAGAACCATTGGTCTACAACATCCAGTGAGATCTCACACAGTGGATATTATTCCACTTTATTCTCTTAACAACTTATATATTAGATGGAATGACTCCCAATTTATATATGACAGAAGTGAGACACAGAGAGTCAAGTGACCGGGCCTTGATCTGAGATTGTCTCTTATTATGTCCTAACCTGTCTAGAAAGGTTGTCTTGCCCTTAAACAAACCTGTTGTGAGAAATCTAAATTTTTTAAAGATGAAAATAAGGATAAGTATGTGATTAGTTCTACATAAAATAAACCTTCACTTTCAAAGACTTGACTGAAGACATCATTTAAGCAGTGTGTTACCCAAAATGATTTCAAGTATGAAATATGTTTGCAAATATATTTGATATACTTATAAATCAATACAAGTTGCATTAAAAATATTAAAAAGTTTAAGCATCAAAAAATGTTTAAATTAAAAGAATCTCCAGAAACTGTAGGAGTCTTAGTGAAAGGCATCTCGGGTTGGTCTGATAGCTGACCTTTTCAACTCAGTCCATTAGAGCTTGCTCATTTATTAAAATGTAGAATTACTACAAATCAGCCCAGCGATGAAGGGAAGTATTTAATTCAGAAAGGTTATATTGATCAAATAGATTAGGGCAGCATTGCCCTACTGCATTAACATGAATCTACTCTGTGTGGCACATCTGCATCATTAATCATTTAGAAGAATAGGCAGTACATAGACTAACCCATAGTTGCCTGCTTGTGTCTTTTGCTTTAAAAACAACCATTTCAGCATTATCATTAGTAAAAAAGATTCCATTATTTTACATTGATTATTGACTTAAAAAATTTCCTTCTGCAGTTTCGTATTTTTGATTTTTATGTAATAACTTCTTCTCAAGTAAAAACAAAATAAATAACCATTTAGACTTCATGTAAGGGAAGTATAATTACTACAACTAATTCTCTAAATATCTGTTATAATTTCAGTAGGTGTTAAGTGGGGAAATGCTACTGAATTCATACTAAAAGCAAAAATAATGATTTCTTCGGAAATCCAACCTATTTATATATTCCAAATATAAAAATGGAACCATACCTAAATAATGAAATCAATGGATCATTACTTCTCATTCAATAAATATTTATTGAGCACTTGTTTGCCTGGCATGATTCTAGGAGCTTGGGATATACCAATAAATAAAGCAAATAAAGATTCCAGTGGCAGCAGACTATATATTTAAGTGTGTGTGTGTGTGTGTGTGTGTGTGTGTGTGTGTGTGTGTGATGGGGTAAGTACAGGGGAGAAATGAATATGGGGAATATAATGGGGTTGGGTGGGTCAGTTTTTAGTATATGCTGGTCAGGAGATTTCTTATCATTTGAAAAGATGACAAAAATATTATTTGTCTGGTAATTACAAGTTTCAGTTAGTTGCTAAGAATATGGCAAGCTTTAAGAGTTAAGAAATTATACATCAGATTCCATCCCAACCTCAGGGAATATGCAGCTGAGCCATGGAAGGGAAAAAAAAAAAGTAAAAATAATGAGCATTATAGTGTTATAGATGTATTGATAGTATAATAAAGTGCATAGATCATTCTCTAATCTGATGTCATTACTTTTCTAATTATGATTAGCAGTCTATTTAAACTTTGGCTCTTAAATCTTTTAAACATCAAAACATTGGTTTATATTATTTTAGATTTAGACTCATATGAATTGGTTTTTTTTCTCTCCACATCTCTTTATTACCTTCTTTAAAAAATACCCTCTGCCATGGCTGGAGTGGCTCAGTTGGTTGGAGAATCATCCAGTACACTAAAAGGTTGCAGGTTTGATCCCCAGTTGGGGTGTATGTGAGAGGCGACTGATAGATGTTTTGCTCTCACATCGATGGTTTTTGTCTCTAAAATTAATAAAAGCATGTCAGGTGAGGATTAAAAAGAACAAAAACACCCTCTGATCATCCATCCTGTCCAAACTGGTTACAAATTATAATCAGCGGCACTTCCAACCACTTAATTATCTAAATGGAAGGTTTTTATTCAGCATCCTTCTAGCTACCCATCATGTACCCCCTCTCAAATAAATAATGACTACCTTTGCTAAGTTCTAGAGATACAACAACGAATAAGTCAACAAACTTCTAACTTCTAGAAGCTTTCATTCTGGTAGAAGAGGAAATCAATAAGTAATCAAATAAGATGTCACATGTAATATATAACAGTGGTTCTCAAACATTTTAGTCTCCAAATTAATTGAGGACTCCAAAGAGCTTTTGTTCAATGAGTTAAACCTGGTATTTATCAGGTTAAAAATGAAAACTGAGGGATTAAAAAATTATTTACTTATTGACTTAAAACAAGGGTGGGAATGTCTGGGACGTATAAGGCCTGTGAAATCATTTGGTCTGGCCCTGCTTAGGCAACCACAGGCGGACTCAAAATTCAATAAATTTAGGAGTTTTTTCATAGTAATGTACATTTGTATTAAGTGAATAATATTAATTGAAATATGTTATAAATATCCAAATGGCCCTTGGCAGAAAAAAAAGTTTCCCCAGTCTTGACTTAATATGTCAATAACAAACTAATTATACTAGTAACATCTTATGAGGAAATAGTCATTTTCCCAAATAAGCAAGCAAGCAAACACACACAAAAAACCCCTCAGAAGAATGACATCTTTTAACATTTTTTGTAACTTTTTAAATGTTTGGCTTAATGGAAGATAGCTGGATTCTGCATTCAGACTTTTGTGCTATGTTGTTTTGGTTGAAGTATATAAAGAAATAATAGTTTCATGCAGATATACACTGAAAGGAAGGAAGAAAGGGAGGGAGGGAAGGAGGAGAGAAACATCAACATGTCATCAATTGGTTGCCTCCTGCATTTGCCGGCCAGGAATCTAACCCACAACCCTGGTATGAGCCCTTGACCAGGAATCAAACCCGCAACCTTCCAGTGCACTGGAGATGCTCTAATTAGCTGAGCCACCCGGCCTGCTTTATTCTTAATCTCAAGGTGCAATCCTTTGAGGTCCCAATCAAAACATGGAAGTCCTCAAAGTTGGTGGGCCACGTTCTCCAACTTTTGGCCTTATAAGACTTTGTTTTTAGCATATAAAAAACAGAAATTTCTCACAGTTCTAGAGGATAGGAAGTCCAAGATCAAAGTGCCAGCAGATTTAGTGTTGAGTGAGGATGTGTTTCCTGGTAGATGGGCATCTTCTCATTGAATCCACTCGTGGTAGAGGGATGAGAAAGCTCTCTGGGGTCTCTTTTATTTATTTTTCCTTTTTATTGAGTTTATTGGGGTGACATTGGTTAACAAAATTATACAGGTTTCAGGTGCACAATTCCATTACACGTCATCTGGATACTGAATTGTGTGTTCACACCCCAAGTCAACTCTCTGCCCATCACCATTTGTCCCCTCTGTATTTTTATTTTTAAATAGACTTTATTTTTAGAGCAGTTTTAGGTTCACAGGAAAATTGAATAGAAAGTACATAGGGGTTCTTATATACCGCCTGCCCACTTTTGAGTAATTGCTTAGTCACAATTCCTCTCCTGGAATTTACAGTTCTGCTAGAAGAATAGTGGCCCTAAATACCAGGCTTATCTTCTGGATGTTTGTCTTCTCCTAGATCTTGCCCTGTTAATTCTTTACTACCATTTATTTCTGATAGCTTCAGCCAGTTGTTTTTAAATAATTATTCCAGCTTTTCTAGTTCTCAGGGGAAAGGTAAGCTTGGCTATTACTGAACATAGTTATTCCCTTTTTAGAAATTGCAATGAGTAGATTGCATATTTAGAAAGGATAGAAGGGTGATTCTAGTAAGGAAATGCACAACTAATAGCCTTTATTAGCATCATGGTTTAAGATTTTACTTTCAATATTACAGAGCTATATTGTAGAAGTTAATTTTTTAATTTTGTAACTTTTATTCTAGCTCGTGATGCTGATGAGCGAGAGAAGTGGATCCATGCCTTAGAAGAAACTATTCTTCGGCATACTCTTCAGCTTCAAGTAAGAGCCTTTATATGGCTTGTGGATAGTACATTAGTTTTTGTTTGCTGTTTTCTCAAATAACAGTGATATGATGTAATGAAAACTTTTCATTTCTGAGTCACTTATTCTTGCATTTACAGTGTTATAATATACTAGTGGTCCAGTACATAGATTCATACACATTGAAAGGAAATTAAGTAGAAGAAATATTTTAATATTACTATTTGCCGTTTTTCTATAGTGTCAGAGAGTAAAAAAAAATTAGTAAAATGTATATGAAAATAATGTATAAATTGATTAATAAACAATAACAACATAGCAACAATAAAGACATATAAAAAACAAAAACATGATAAAAAATCAACAAAAATATGATATAAAAGATTGATAAAAACAATGTCTGGTAAGTTGATTAAACTCATTCTAATATCTTCCTGTATACCAAATTAAGAGTGAAAACACTTTTAGAGTGCTTGACTAATTTTCCTTGTGATGAAGTTTTACAACTTTAACGTCACACGCTCTTTGACGTCAAGAGAAAGCAACATATAACTGATCATGTCTGAAAACAGGTTCAGGTAGGAATATTCCTACTCTGTCCAGAGTTTGTTCTTGTGATTTATTAATAGTAAAAACAAATGTTGGCATCATGGGAAACTGTCTTTGAATTAATTTAAATGGGAGGCCAGTGTCAGACAGGGACAAATACTGCACATGCGCGAGTCAATGTTTATTTTTAAATATCAGTACATGTCATATATACCAGCTGGTTGGTCGAATGGATGGTCGAACAGATGAATGGTGGGTCACTTAGCCTTTTATGTATAATTCTACTATATAAAAAGCCAGGGGCCATCACAACCGAAACAACTGGACGGATGACTGAACATGGGCTGTGTGGGGCAACCAGGCCGGCAGTGGGGTTAGTGAGGGATGACCAAATGACTGAACAGCAGGTTGCGTGGGGCAACCAGGCCCGGGGGTGGGGGACAGTTGGGGGAGATCAGGCCAGTGAGGGGGGCAGTTGTGGACCACCAGGCAGGCAGGGGGGGCCAGTAAGGGGCAACCAGGCTGGCGGGGGGAAGGGGGAGACAGTTGGGGGCAACCAGGCCAGCAGGGGGGCAGTTAGGAGCCTTCAGGTTGGCAGCAGAGGCAGTTAAGGGTGATCAGGCTGGCAGGGGGTGAAAGTAGGGGCCATCAGGCAGGCAGGCAGGTATGCAGTTAGGAGCCAGCAGTCCAGGATTGTGAGAGGGTTGTCTGACTGTCAGTTTAGACCTGATCCCTGGAATTGGGCCTAAACCAGCAGTCGGACATCCCCTGAGCGGTCCTGGATTAGAGAGGATGCAGGCTGGGCTGAGGAGACCCCCTGTCGAATTTCATGCACCAGGCCTCTAGTCTATATAATAAGAGCCTAAATGACCTTTATGGTGGAATGACCAGAACAACCAATCACTTTGTTGCACACTGTCCGCCAGGAGGCAGAAGCTGGATTCATGGCTGGCCAGCGAAGTGGCAGTGGTGGGAGTGGAGAGTGGGCCTAAGCCGGTAGTCAGATATCCCCTGAGGGGTCCTGGAATGTGAGTGGGCTCAGGCCAGGCTGAGGAGACCCCTCCCCTGCCCCCATGCAGGAATTTTGTGCATTGGGCTTCTAGTAGATAGCAAAGTTGTAGTCATTTTCTTGTGCTTTCTGTAGGGTAAAATACTGATTTTTGTTTAGAAACAAGACAGTGTAAGGCAATGTTGAAGGGAATGTGTCAGATTCCTTTTTTAAATTTAGTACCTGTAGTTGGTTATTGATATAACCAAATTACATAAAAAGCATTGACAACAGATATGTGCTGAGAAGTTGACAGATTTTTTGTTAACGGATTTGGCAATTACCATATGTGTTGGATAGTACTCTTTGAGATGAAAGGGAAAGAAAAAATACAAACTGGCTAATAAAAAAAAAAAAAAAAAGCAAATCTCGCTTAAGTATGGTTTGAAGTAGGCACTTAAACAATGTCATGAGGACCCAGACCCCCCTTCTCCATTTCTTGGTTCATGTTCTGGGTTGGCTTCGTTTTTAGTTAGGTTCTCCTTTTTTTGGTGTTAAGGTGTTTGCAACAATTTCATCTTACTCTCGTTGGAACTTTCTAGATGTGATAGGATTAATAGGATTTGTGCTGATCATCATCAGTCATTTTCCCAATCCTGACCAACCACAGTTTCGTGGTCATGCAGTATGTTATCTGCTTCTTCAGAACACATTGCTGATGGGGAGGAAGATGGTTGTGGTTTCCCCCACACCCCTGTAAAGTGAGAATAAGAAACAAAAGAGGCTGGGTGACAGAAACACCAAATGTCTACTCTGCCATACTGAAGATAGTTTTCTATGTTTATTCTCCAATGAAAGAGCTTATATTGTGGCATACATAGGATTTTGTCTTGACTTATAGGATTGAATTATAGAAAACTGATCTTTTATAACCCTTTCTCTCTACTTATCTTTGTCCCATACCAGGAATTGGCTTGAAAAGACAAGGCACAATAGAGCATCCTATAACATGGGGAGCTCCCCATCACTTGAAAGTGTTCAAATAGAAGCTTAAAAAACATTATTCCAAGATATGGTTATTAAGAGATTAAGAAATGAATACAAGCTAATTTAGGAGATTATAAATTACTGTATGAGCTATGCTTTTTATTTATTTTATTTTTTTATGATAATGATGAAAAACATAATATACAATTTTTCCATTATAGTTCATATTCAGTATTATTCAGAATTAGTTTCAGGTACACAACATAGTGGTTAGACAATCATATACTTTACAGAGTGGTCCCCCTAATACTTCAAGGAACGTGTGTCTCTCCCCCCCACCCTCTGCCCATACACAGCTATTACAATATATATATATTTTTTTTCCTTCATTAACCTCTTTCTGGTTACTTCCATCCTCCAGCAAATGCCCTTACCTCCCTAGACTCTGTATCCATTGGTAATGCTTATATGCATGCATACAAGTCCTTTTTTCTCTCCTATTTCTATAAAAAATATTTGTCATCTATGTCTGAGATGACATAAGAGGAGGATGTGATTTTAGGTAAACATTAGTGGACTCTGGCTGAAATAATATTTTTGAAAGTAGTACATATAATAATACTTGAATTCTGTATAAAATGTTCTTTGCATCTTTAAAACTATAGGTAAAATTGGCATATTTTTTACTCAATAGACTTCTTGTCGTATTAAATAACCCCTCACTCTGAATCTTAGTGTTTATATTTTTCTCAGATTATTTTATGTAAAACAGTCTGCATTCGGTGAGATGCAGTCGAGGGAAATTTAGAATTTTGTGGGGTTTTTTTTTGTTTTTTTTTTTCGTTTTTCTTGTATGTTTTTCTAGTTTTATTGAGGAAAAATTGACATACATTATTATATAAGTTTAAGGTGGGTGTATAGTATGATTGGGTTTTTTTTTGTACTTGATCACCATAGTCTGTTTTTCATCCTGAACAACAACAATAAGTGCCAGTTTAATTTAATCATTTGGTTATGTAGTTCAAAAATAAGGATTGAAGATCTTTTAATAAATGAGTAGATATTCAGTTGTCATATATGGATTTAAGGCATTGATCACTTAACTTTTTTCTAAAATAACTTGTAGATTTCTTTAAAAACATGGAGTTCCCAAATTTGCTTAGAAGTCCTACAGTTTCTTGGAATAAAATCAGTAAAGTTGACTTGTATTGTGTAATTACTCTTTATTATAAATGCTACATCTTTTATGTACATTAACTTTACACAAGGATTAGGAAAATGAGAACTATGTATCTATATCAAATAGTTATCTCTAGTATGAAACTGTGGACTATAGCTGTGACCTCTTTAAATATATACACAATTGAAGAAATCTCATTAAGAGACTGTCATAAATCATATTTTCAATTGTCATCACTCTTAACACTTGACCCTATCAATAAAAACTGATAATTGTATCTAAATTATCCAATTAAATTTTTACTCAACTATTTACATTAAACTGTCAAAACAACAGTGCATTAGATTTAGAAACTAGTGATCTATGATGGTGGTGATGGAAGATTTGGAGGATACTTTAACAAAAAATAACACTTGGAAAGACACTGTTAAATACAAAGTCCTTGATGACCTACCCCATCTGTCTAATTGGGGAGATAAGGCCTAAGCACATGAAAGAACTGCTAAGAGTTATATAAATAAGTACTCTGTCTCTTATGTAAGGATCAAACAATACAATACATAGACAGAATTAGAGATGTAGGCTTTTTTCCCCTGGCCTGGAGAACTGTGTGGTCAGCTAATATTAAGTCCTTTGGCCTGCTCAGGTCAAAATTAGCTGCTAGAAAAGCACATACTAAAGAAAATTTAAAAGGGTGTCATTGTAAGTTGTTGGATATTGAACATGTCCATCTGGCAAAATGAATGTTTTTTTCTACATTACTGTTTAGAGTTTAATATTTATCACAGAATTACTTATCTTCAAAACCTATTCCCAGTGAGATCCAGGCATTTGGCTAAATAACCGAGGATATGATGTTTAACAAAATCAGATACACAGATCCTCGCCTCATTGAGCTTATAGTTTGGTGGTGAATAAACATTTATCAAAGAATAATGGAAATAAAACTAATAACCTGATTAAAAATGGGCAGTAAATCTGAATAGATATTTTTCCAGAGAAGACATACAGATAGCCACCAGATACATGAAAAGATGCTCAACATTGTTAAAGATCTGGGGAATGCAAATCCAAAGCACAGTGAGAGATCAATTCACACTCCTTAGCATGGTTAGAATTCTTTAAAAACAAAAAACAAGAAATAACAAATGTTGGTGAGGTTGTGGAGATAAGGGATCTCTTGTGCACTGTTGTGCAACCACTATGGAAAACAGTATGGTTGTTCCTTAAAAATTAAATATAGAACCTCCATATGATTCAGTAATTTCACTTCTGGGTATTTATCTGAAGAAAGCAAAAACACTAATTTAAAAA